ATAATTTAATAAAATAAAATTCTATAGTTATTCATGCTATGTAACATTTCTACTAAAATTTATACAGACGTATAAATATTCATCATTATCTTTATATTCCATGCACTAAAGAATATAATATATTTTGGAATAGAGAATATGGATGTATATTTGAATTATTAAAATATAAATCTCAACATTATACTAATTGTATATTTAGATTTCTATATATATTGAAAACATTTTTCAATGGAAGTAATTTTATGATATATCATTATTTTATAATTATTTTTAGTACGAATTTGTAGGATCATTTCCTAAATGTGAAGAAATAATGAAAAAGTATAGTGGCCATAATGAACCATTTGTACAATGTACAGAGGCTCATACAAGTAATGCTATATTTAAATATTATAATTTCCTTGGTAAAAAATGCGACACAGCTCTATCATATGTAAATCACATGAATTCGCCATTATTTACTCAATATTTGAAAGAGTCCGCTTGCTTTTTTTTTTATTATTGGATATACAATCATATCTTTGATAAGCAATATAGTGATGATATAAAGAAATTTTATGATTTATTGAGCAAATCACTTGGAATAGATATCACCATTAATTGTGATGCGTATAACGAAAATATAAACAAGAGTGTTTTAGAAGTAATCACAAATACTTATAATAAACATAAAAGTCTTGATATCATAAAATTGAATTGCGAAAGTAATAAAGACGAGGAATTTTGTGAAAAAATAAGTGATATCGTGAATAAATATAATGGATTTAAGAAAATTCAAGTAGATGAAACAAAAATAACGTACCCTTACCAAATTAATATTAAATTTACAATTATAATTACACTTTTTGTGGTAATATTAACATTTCTTTTATCCTTTATTTTTTTTAAGGTTCACTATAACTTTACTAATATATATAAGCACTCTACGAATTAACTTTTCTAAACAGTACAACAATGAAAATTTTATCATAAAAAAATCATATTTATAATTAATAATTTTTTACTTATATTTATTCAGATTTCTCCATATGGTTCATATATGGTGCGTCAATTAAAAAGGATAAGAAACAAGTTGAATAATGTAGATGGCCAATGGAATATCATGAATCAGCGTGAAATATCCCAAAATATTTCAAGTGATATGATGTTTAATGTATTATATAATTGTGACTAATTTTATAATTATATATATAATTCGAGGACAATGTTAGATTAAATAATCAATAGTTAAATGTGTGGAAAAATAAGTTTATTTCAGTTGTGAAAAACAGGTTTCAGCATTAAATATATATATGAAAGTGTATATAAGATGAATAACAAAACAAAATAATTATTCTAAAAAATATACAAAATTAATTACGTTTATTTCGAATAATATATGTGAATACTCATTTTATTAAAGTAAATTATACATAAACTTTTAGGGCAAATTAACCAAATAAAATGATTTTTTCTCTATGTTTAAATATATATACAAAATGAATTTTTATTAAAATTATTATTGTTCGTACGATTATATATTATTTATATTTTATCTAACAAAGAAGATTTTATTTGTCATAACTATGGTAAATTTTGTTAAGTTTTGTGCTAATGCTTACACCTAATAATTAGTTTATTATGCTGTACATTAACATGTAGATATGTTTTTATCATGTATATATTAATAAAATTTTATTAATAAAAACATGCTTTTTAAAATGTTAATATATTATTGTTATTATATATTTGATATTTTATATTCATCAATAATCATAATAATTTGGGTAATATAATATATTCCACATTAGTTTTCAGTATATAGTATATTCCTTAATTTGGCAAATTAAGTTATTTTCACTCATTATTTCTCGTAATCATAAATCTTTTTATTATATATATATATATCTAGTTATTATACTATGATTCAATATATTTATTATATATATTAAGAAATTATATAAAGTATTTTTTTTAGAAAATTGTTTATATTTTTTTTGATATATTAGAATTATGGAGTATAAATTTTATTTGCATTTTATATTAGTTTCCACCTTTTTTGATCTCTTTTACGGAGCACGTCTCATACAGTAAATTAAATAAAATGATCATGAAGGGACAATGAAAAAAGAAATACATTTAAAAATATTTTAATAAAAAATTTGAATATTATTAATATATTTAAATTATAAATATCATTTATATTCTATATAATATATAAATCATACTATTATAATACAATAGAAAATGGAAATGCTATTGAAACAAATATACTATCTCTATATACGAGTAAAAATATATTAGAGTATCTAATAGACAATTGTTTTATTATAATTTTCTTAGTAACTTTTAAACAATATTTTCTTTTATTAAGTGTAAAACATTATGTTATAATTCTATAATATTTATTTACATGATTCGCATTTACATGTACAAAAAATATATACATTGGTAATAATTCTAATTCGAGGATAATGCTTGTAATTTTTTCAAATTAGAAGGGCTAGAGCACATTTTTTTTTATTACTTTATTAATGCTATTATAATAGCTGTTGGAAATTATCATATATTTTTTTGCCGTCTTCTGAATTACAATATGCATACATTAATGTTACATAAAAAATGTAATATTTTTTATTCTTGTTTTACAAAAGGAATTCATATAATTATTAATACATTTTATTAAATATATGAACTACTTAATCATTATTATGAATATAATTTTGTTAATTCGATATATTAAACAATTATTTTTATAAAATTATATTTATATCGAATTAATAAATTTAATCTTTTACAATATATTTTATAATTTACTAATATATATAGCACAATAATTTTCTGCATATTTTTTTATTATTTTTATTATATTTATCCTAAAATTCATTGTATATTCATTAAAACTTTCTTTAGAAAAAAATAATCCTTTTGGACAATTGAACAGAAAATAATATTTTAGATAAATATTCTGAATATTTTCTGATATGTTTTTCTGAACTGAATATTCAAGTATAATTGTTTCATACTATTATATTTTGTATTATAAATTTATTGGATGTATGCTATAATGTAATATGTAAATCAAGCTATAACCTCTTATATGAAAATAATAATTATTATAAAATTAATTTGTGCAATAATACATTTACCCTTTATTTACAATTGTTCATTCTAATGCTTATGTTAATATTTAATAAAACGATGAGCGCATATAAATAAAATATAATATTTCTTATAACAATA